TGGGACTCAACTAACCTTCTTTTCCGGCGAATCCTTGGCCGGAGATTGCTTAAAAACCTTCCTCACCGTCGAAAACCAGCCACTCCCGCCGCTCTTCTTCCCCATCTCCGGCCAAAATTCTGACCACCTAATCACAACTTCTCAAAATTAATGACCCAAAGTTTACAGTGATCATCAAACAAATGAAGCAAACCTAACCTGGCCAATAAATCAAAAGCTCATCTTTTGTCTCGTCTAAAAGTGAAAATCTCGAACAATGTTAAGTAGTGAGAAACACGTGACGGAGTTTAAGGGAAATTAAAAGGCGGTAGATAGAAACACGCAGTATTTGTGTAGCAGTCTGTATATTAATTCTGTAGAGAGATATAAAGTGGGAAAAAAATAAGGGCGAAGATTAACTGATGGCCCCGCGCAATTTGCCGTTAGTAATTAATCATGCTCACGAGGGGCCGTGTACAGTTGGTTGCGGCCAATGAGATGGCTACACGTGTCAGTTGCCTTCTACACGAGGGCTTGATATAATAAGAGCATCTCCAATCGTGAACATGAATTGTCACAATTAAATAGATGATCTGCCGTCCAACTGGGAACAAATAGAAGTTCAAATCCATAAAAACTCTCCAGTGGTTTATTTATATCTCCACATAATCCATTTATTTTGTTTGTAAATAAGGGAGAAAAATTTTTCCCTATATATAATTTCCGAATGCGCTGAGCCTATGTGGCTGTTTCTGGTGCTTCAGAATGCTACTTGGCGAAGAATCATGCTTCGTAATTAGGCTTGGACAAATAATATTGATATATTAATAATTAATAATTTAGGTTCAGACATTTCATAAATATTACTTATCTAACTTAGGTATTTTAATATCACTTGTACTAATATAACTCTTTAATTATTTGTAATTTTACATAGTGAGACACTAAGTGACTAATATATCTCTGACTTTGATTTGTTTCCTTCAATTAGCTATTGAATTGTAAATGTATTTTAAAATTTGATAATTTTTTTTTTCTTATCAGTTTTACATATATTCTATATCAAATTAATCATCTTTTGATGATTTTCGATTTGACATCCATATTGTATATATGAAATAAATAAATTATATTTATCTTTATATAATAAAAGATAAAAATATTTATTAAAATTTATTACAAAAATAAAATTATATATCAATTGATATATTTATTTTTAATGTAGTTATATGTTGTAAGTTAAAAATTATTATAATATAACACTGGTAAGTCGCACAAATAAAAAGTGTTATACTAAATATATAATAATATATATATATTTTTGTAAAAGGTATTTAAATTTTCAACTACTTTTTCTCATTAATTTTAGACTTTAAGAAAAAAAATTAGCAAGCACTCGTGTAATACACGGGTATTATACTAGTAACTCGTTAAGTCTAGAAGGACTTCTAGAATTATTGGTTACTTTCATGTTACATCATCATCAATAGAAATAGAAAAATAATGTTGGAAAAGTTTTTTTATTGCATGTCTTCTACAAATACTATAATTCACACACCGTTGGAGATGCTCTAAGTGAACAATAACTCGACCGTACCAGTGAGGTTATCGATTTTTTTATCCAACGGTTGTACACGAGTGTGTAAGATCCAACGATTAAAAAAATCGTTGAATGTATTGTTGGGTTATTTCGTAGTTAAGGAATGACGACAAAATATTGTCACTTTGACACATGTATATTGTTCTATATCATAAAACGTACAAAAAAAAA